TAAGAAGTATACAGAAGACTGCTGCTTTTGCCCCTGCTGTAGGTTAGAGCAACATGTTGCACACTTGCTCAGATGGAAAATTCAAATATTTCACATGTGTTAAACATGCCCTGGGGTCAGGTGTTGCTGCAGTGGAAGCCAGCTTGAAGTCTAAGACAAGATAATAAACATGGCTGCTTTCATTTACTCCAGGGTAAAAAGCAGGAGGGTTATTTCGGGTGAAATTGATCTATTAGGATGAAATGTGTTCAGGATGCAAGACGTATGTCATAATTTACAGCATGCGACATTGTGGGGTCTTTTTAAGTTTTAATTTTGTTTCATTATAATTATAATGAAGAATTAGCTTTATGACTTTAAGTGATTGAAAATGGAAGAAATAATGTTGCCAGTTAACTTTAACCCCAGAAAGTCTTATCGTGCCAGCTAAAACATGCCTTTGAGATATGTTTCTGAATAGGTTTCTAACTTATGTAATGAGGCATATGAGAAAAAGAGCAATTTGAACTACAAAACCATCATCAGTGCAATAAAGTATTGTTATTCTTTCCTAGACTGAAATTAGTGATCAATTGTGGTCTACATTTTAAGCAGCAGTAAAAGGAGGTTTAGTTTGAAATGATTTTGTGAAGATACAGTGACATGGTTTCGCCATGGTGCAATGAAGGGTTTAGATCATATAGGAAGGACAAAATGTGTGATTGTACAATGACTCGGTGAGACCATTGTGTTGCTATGGGATTACCTGATCAAGGTAGGACAACAGGCATGAAGGAAGGGCTTGGTCTCCACTCTGCTCACATTTGTCAGGGTAGTGAGAATCTATGGTAAACAAAATCTCTTTAACCTTTCTCCTCCCTCACCTGGGGGCCAAACAAACAGGGAAAACCCTAGTCTGGGCAGCCATAGTCTCTGTCTGCAGATCTACAGTCGGCTGATGACTGAGACGTTTGTCTGGCCCAAACTGTTTATTGTAAACTTTGGCACTTACAAGGTTTCAATAGAAATGTTGACATGTGTACTAGTATGTTTAATTCTTTCATTGTGGAAATGGTAGCCTTCAGAAACTGTGTCTTTTTCAGATAAATAGCAGCAATTGTCATCTCTTTTTTATTTTCGGGCGGGGAAGGGGATTAAGCACAAGGATTGAGGTATTGTTAATCCTAAAAACTAAACCAGCCAAGACATGTGTGGAGGATGTCTGATGTAGATTTTATACAAATATAGATGAGTTGCATAAGGGATGACGAAAACAAATAAGCAAACACTTGTATCACAGTCAGGAAAAATGTAATGACTGCTTTCAGCATTTTAAGTGTATGCTTCTGTGGGAAACCATCACTGTCCTATCCCACCATCCTGTCAATGGGGATCATAATAATGGTGATATATATGGTATGGATGATGATGATGATGATGATGATGATGATGATGATGATGATGATGATGATGATGATGATGATGATGATGATGATGATGATGATGATGATGATGATGATGATGATGATGATGATGATGATGATGATGATGATGATGATGATGATGATGATGATGATGATGATGATGATGATGATGATGATGATGATGATGGTGATGATGATGATGATGATGATGATGATGATGATGATGATGATGATGATGATGATGATGATGATGATGATGATGATGATGATGATGATGATGATGGTGATGGTGATGATGATGATGATGATGATGATGATGATAGTGATGATGATGATGATGATGATGATGGTGATGATGATGATGATGATGATGATGATGATGATGTTGATGATGATGATGATGATGATGATGATGATGATGATGATGATGATGATGATGGTGATGATGATGATGATGATGATGATGATGATGATGATGGTGGTTGTGGTGGTGGTGATGATGATAATGATGATAATGTTGTTGATGATGATGATGGTGATGATGATTACAGTTTGTATTCCTTCCCCCACTTCCAAGAGTGCCAAACAAAACAAATTGATTTAAACATATGTTATTCACAAATGTGAAAGGGCTTGGGGACAAGTTATCCAACTTAAAATACCCGCTTCCTAATATTTACGTACATACATTTTCAATTATATATATCTTAGGAAAGAATAGAGAGAAGAGATAGGAATGTTAAAGAGAGAAGAGAGGAGGGGACACAACTTATGTGATCACTCAAAACGTTTTGATTGATGAATAAAAGTTTGCACACATTTGAAAACATATTCATTCTGTTGAATTGTCAAATTAGGACTTCCAAGTAACATTAAAGGACAATGTGATTGGAGAGTCACGTTTTACAATATTTAAAAAATTTAACATTAATATCTCTCTTTGAATGTTGTACAGTTTACATTTTAATAGGAAGTGATGTTTTCTCATAAGCATTGCCACAGTAACAAGAAGCAGAATCTTTCATGTTGAAACGATACAGATCATGATTTAGCTGACTAGTCATATATCTCAACTTTGTGTGTGTAATGCTAAGTTTTCTAATTCTAAATGAGTAATATGATGGAGCTACAGGTTGCTCACACTTTAAATATGACTTGAAACTTTGTAATGAAGGTCGATTTCTTTCGGTATCAGAAATATTATTCCATATTCTTACAGTTGATGGAAAAAAAGAATCATACGAAAGTCTTAACCTTGCAGAAGGTAGGATAATATTGTTAGCATTCGTAAGGTTATAGTTAGATCTGGATCCCACACTACCTGGAGTAATATTCTTTAAGTATACAGGAGCTAAATTATTTTGATTTTTATGAAATAGACAAAGTTTGATCTTAAACCTTAAACCCTGTCCATCCTTCTTGTGGCTGATAACACCCTCCAGAGTGGAGAAATACCATTAGAATATCTTCTCACTGTGACACATGTACCTGTGTTTTATGTTAATGACTTCCAGAATAGATAGACATGGATGAAAGTCCCACAATGTGGTTGTAGAACTGTTATTCCTGAGGAATTCCTGGTTTATGTGGTCAGCTGAACCACTAGCTCTGGTATTGTACTCTGCCCAGCTGGTGAACACGTCTACCCTAAATCACCCACCACCCTATCTACTGTACGTCCCAGCCAACTCTGTCAGAAGCTTAGAAGCTGAGGCCACGTTGGGCCATGCAATGACGTGCTTCTGATAGCACCCGCTGCCAGAGAAAGTTCTTAAAGTGCAATGGAAACCATGGTATATTTACCTAGTTATTCCCCATTCAGCAGGAGGGGCTGGCTGTAGTGTCAGATCTGCTCATTCCTTGGTGTGTCTGGTCGTCTTCCGTCTGTCATGATGTCTGCTTGCTGGATCTACATATCTTTCGTTAACTTTTCAGGGTAAGATTTGATTGGATAATCAAACAGTATGTATACTTTGTAGGGAAATAACTTTAATTTGTGCTTAGGTTGTTTCTGGTCAGAATACAATGTGATGTCTGAATCATTCCAAGCATTCTTAGACTTCCATCAAGATTATGTTATATAGCTAGAGGTAATACTGGCATACTGTTCAGCAGGAATTTTCAGTCAGGGTTCAGAAACTACAATAAGATTTAATCTGGCACACTTTTATCACATGTAGAGGAGCAGGTGTTTTAGGAGATATTCCACTGATGCTGCCAAACTGATGCAAGTATACCAGCATAAGTTGGGTGTCATAACATGTTTACATCCTGGTCTTCACTGTAGGATCGGTACATTCTTACAGAAACTATGTGGGTTTGACCAGAGACAATATAATGGTCTCTGGTTTGACCTACACTTGTCAGGGCAGGAATTAGTGATGTAATGGTCTGTCCACCTCGATGTTGGAGCTTGTACTGCTCTGAGACGTAAGCACCACGGCAGGAGGGTGTGTTTCAGCAGGTGAGGTGCTGATGGGGAGAAGTGTTTTTAATCAGAATCAGTCATACTGACATTTGAAGGTTTGCCAGCGACAGTGTATGTGAAAACAACATTTAAAATAAGTTAATGAAAAACTCTACAAATAATGTTCATATGCTGTGAATATATATTGGTTTGTGATGGGCCCTTTTTATTTGCATCCTGGTTGTTGTATAGAGCTGGATGCATGAAGGGTGTTATGTATAGCTGGGTGCACTAAGTGTTGGTGTCAAGTGGGGAGGTGAATGTGTACAGGTGATGCTCTGATAATTTGCTTTACCTGGCTACAGATTGAATGAAGCTATATTTCATTACAGTTTCAACTCTTATCTTTGTATTGTGTGCAGTTTGTAAAGCATGGAGAGGTTGTCAGTGATGTGGTTATGATGCACAAGGGCATGAGAACTCGTTCAAGATTTAAAACATGAGAAAGTAAACTTATTTTCTCATATAACTTGTCATCATAAAACAGATTTTTCTAATTAGGCAAATATGATTGTTTGAGCAGACCTAACACCATGGAATTTTGATGCAATATATATGTGACAATATCAAAATGTATTACACCTGATGCTTAAGGGTAATATATAACTTGATAGACTGTGTGTGTGGAACATCTTGTACCAATGTTTAGAATCAAACATAAGATCCCCCTCTACGGAATCTTACCCTAATTTAAAACCACAGTCAAACTGTCAGCTATTTTGAATAAGCATTTACCCTTTTACTGTTTCTTTGTTGGAGACAATCTGATATGACATCCTCCCTTATCTGTGGCATCACTTATTGAAAACATGGCACCATCTGAACATATGCTGACTTCAGAAGAGCTTCTGCTTGGGGTTAAGTTTCTATACTGTTTTTTTTTCTTTCCTTTTGGAATTCATCGTATATAAAATAATGTCGAAATTTACTGAATATCCAACCCTCTAATGTCTTGACTGCCTTGCTCTAGGCTGACACTATTCATCCAAACTGGACCATTAGTCCCTCATAGATCATTGGCTCTTTGGTAATTAGTTGAGTGTGATTTCATCCCATACAGCTATGATGGCAGCTTTAGTTATATTCCAAGGTCAGCAGTTTTCTACATCCATATTGTTGTTTGTTTTCAGAGCCAAAGTGTGGATAAACGACATGCAGTTGTGACCTATGATCACTATCTCTGCCGATTCAAGATAAAGGATTTGAGCACAGCTCATGGGGTAGGTGAAGTTTTGATGTCTACAAAGAATTGGTCCTTTTCATTGTACATGTATGTGGTTACATTCCATAGAATAATTTCTTGGTGATTGTATGACCATATGTGGAGAAGAACAAAGCATTACTATGTACTGTTTGGGGCCTGTCCTGCTTTACATCCAGTTCACAGTTACTAATCAACTAGATTGATTGCCAAATGTGAAGTAACTTTGCTTGCCAAGATCTAGGATAGTTCAATACATCAGAATACTTCCCCACACTAGGCCCTTGTATAAATCTTACTCAGCCCAGAGAAAGATAGCTCAATAAATAATGGTTAGGCATGGTCACCTGTCCAAAGATATTGAAATGCTGTGAGGGCAAGGTTGTTCTCTTACATGTATTCATAATGAAACTTTCAGAGTTTGCTTCTGGACTAACTTTATTCAGAGCCATGTGCTTTCCTCAGTATGTTTTCAATATTCCCAGATTTATTAAAGTTTCTCTTCTGTTTGTTAGAAGGTAAAACCACATCTTATGAGGCCATTTCAATTGAAGGACTTCTTTCAACTGCCTCTGGTGTATGCATAAGAGCATATGTTGAAACCATGCTGGGTGACACTCTGTACATAGCCATATATCAGCGTATCCTGATTGTGTAGATGGGGGATAGCCTTGGCCCTCTGACAAGTCTGAACACAGACAAGAAATTTCCTCTGATCCATCTGTGAGATAAACACAAGTGAAAGCTCTTCCTACATGGGACAACAAATTGTCTACTTAGGGGTGAAGAGAATGTGACATAGGGTATTGTGTGTTAAACCTGTTATTCCACCCTGACAACAATGTGCTAACTGGGGGACTGGGAGGCATGGATGGGGGTCACATGGTCTGGGTATTTACCATGTAGGAAATATGATCCTTTATGTCACAGGGGATAAATGGTATAAATTGTGGAGGGTCATGTTGTTTCAGGGTTATAGTGCCATTTAATTGACATTCACAATAACAGGTTTCTCCATATTGTATGGGTCAAGTAGTTGCAAGTTGTGAAGGTTGAGTTTCTGTGGGGATTCTGATCAGAATGGGGTTTCAGTCTGCATTGTAATATCAACTACCGGTAACTAAGATGTGGATTAGATGGTTGTAATGTGTGACCTGGTTGTCATGCTACCCAGTGGCATTGGTGATTGTTCATGCCAGGAAATGATGTGCTCTGAGACAGTGATGTCTGTCAGTTGAGTGGTGCTCTGAGACAGTGATGTCTGTCAGTTGAGTGGTGCTCTGAGACAGTGATGTCTGTCAGTTGAGTGGTGCTCTGAGACAGTGATGTCTGTCAGTTGAGTGGTGCTAGTGCTTGAGTGGTGCTCTGAGACAGTGATGTCTGTCAGTTGAGTGGTGCTCTGAGACAGTGATGTCTGTCAGTTGAGTGGTGCTCTGAGACAGTGATGTCTGTCAGTTGAGTGGTGCTCTGAGACAGTGATGTCTGTCAGTTGAGTGGTGCTCTGAGACAGTGATGTCTGTCAGTTGAGTGGTGCTCTGAGACAGTGATGTCTGTCAGTTGAGTGGTGCTCTGAGACAGTGATGTCTGTCAGTTGAGTGGTGCTCTGAGACAGTGATGTCTGTCAGTTGAGTGGTGCTATGAGACAGCAATGTCTGTCAGTTGAGTGGTGCTCTGAGACAGTGATGTCTGTCAGTTGAGTGGTGCTCTGAGACAGTGATGTCTGTCAGTTGAGTGGTGCTATGAGACAGCAATGTCTGTCAGTTGTGTGGTGCTGTAAGACAGTGGTGACATTGCTACTGATATGAAGGGCACAACCAAGGTGTTGTTTGCATGGTGGGCAGTAGAACAGTACCACAGTGTTATAGGCCAGGTTAACACAGTGTACACACACCTTCATGCTGACAGACTCGACTCACTGCTATGAGACGGGGAAGGGGTAGGGGATTTTAAATGTTAAGTTTTACCTGAAATGTCATGTTTCAGGATTTATTTCTAACACAGTTCGGATAGACTTTACGTGGGCATTAGACTGTACATGGACCAAAGAATGGCATTTCGCCATATAGCTGGAATATTGCTGTGTGTGGTATTAAACTACAAACTTTCTTTAAGTGGCATTTTAGAAGATAGTATGATGAAGATGAACAATGTTGATGGGCTCTTCACTGCAATGTATGTGACATTCAGTGTAGATACTGACATCGTTATCAAGCAAGTGTTAGCATCTACACCGAAATGTTGCATCTACTGCACTGAAGATGTCTGTGAATAAAACTTGTTGCTCTTCAACAAAGGGCCTCATATATACATACATGGGCCAAATGTAGGAAAAGAAGAAAAAGGAAAAAAAGAAAGCAGAAAAAAAAAGTAAGGAAAAAAAGTAAGGGGAAAAAAAAGAAATGGGGGAAATTGGTGTATGTAACATATTTTTATGAAGTTGTGAGTATAATTGGCAAACTAAACTCACCAAAATTTTGTCTAACGAGTATAAGCATGAGTATCCAGCTTGGATTGTGGTCCTTGATGTTAGGTATTGTACAGGGAACCTGTTTCTTGTATCAACATGTACCAGTTAATCAAGACATTATAAGACTTTTAAGTAATTGGTGAGTAGCTGAGTAGCTAATGAGTTTTCTTGGCTTCTCATTGGGAATGTATAAAATCGTAAAGAATAGTAAAGAAATGCATTTAGTGTCATTGTGTATGAATAAAGTATTTCTTTTTTTCCTAGCAAAAATCATTTCTTCTTTTCCTTTTCTCTTTTTCTGAATACCCATGGGCCTTAGGCCTTATATTGATCTAAGATAGGCCTTAAATAGTCCTTACATGGACCTAAGACATGTGTGTACATATGTCATGGTGTATTATTACTGGGGGACATGGAAGAATCCCCGCCCCCATCAGCCTGGTGTATAGACACTGTCGGTTATCACACCTTGTATCAACCATGTCAGGTTTCTCAGAGACATATCTGTGCAATATGAGGCCACTTCTTTTATGTGTTGTAATTACAGTGGGGAGTTATCAGTTCAGAGGGTAGATCTTCACAGTTTACTATCTTTCACAGGATGGATTTTATTTTAGAACCCTGAAATGACAGGAAGATGACTCATATTATAGGCTTACAAATAATGATGGTCGGTTCAAACATATGCTATCACAAGGTGATTATTGCTTTCTTTAGATGCATGTTTTATGAAAGAGAAAGATGAGAAGATATTTTTGGCCTGTGTACTGAAAGTTTTGCAATATTTCTTTGATGATATTATGTCATGGATTTGGTGCCCATCGGGTTATGGGAACAACACACAAATTTGTCCATTTCATGAATAATTTCCAGTGTCACATTGTATAAATATGAGTGATTTGTAAGGAGAGGTTTAATGAATATTTAATAACCAGTGGATAATAATAGGATATTTTAGATTTTCAATAATACAAAGAATTTGTAAGGTATTACTCTTTTCACCGTAAATATATAATTTAAAATCCACAAGTTTTTAATTCAGTCATGGTAAATATATTTTGTCTTAAACGCAATGTCATATGCACCTGAAAATAGTTATTCAATATTGTGAACATAAACATCCAACCCAATGGCTGGGGTGTGCAGTGCCTGCTGTGGTGCAGGTACATTGTAACCCTACCTGTCGGCTCGGTGCCAAATACTTCACATTGGTGTTCCCATATGACTCATAGTTTTACTGATACTCCATATCAGAAAACTAGAAATATTCAAAAAACATTATATTTAAGAAGACATCCATGAGATTCCTTTGAATACTCCATCTCAAATGCATCACAACCATATATCTTGTATTTTGTATGTCTGTATTTTGTGAAAAAGAATTAAATATTTCTGTCTCAGTTTCCAAATTACTTAATAATGTCTTTGCAAAAATCAATGTTACCACTTTGTGTAAATTTGAACCTTAAGCTTTCTGAATTTACTGGTGGTATTGATGGCATATTTCCCTTTTAAATGTGAATAATTGATGATAAGCTAAACGCCAGGCGTCGTTCTGTGCGCTACGGTATTGATATCCTAACTGTGCAAAAGCATTCAAAAGTGTTCAATACGTCTGATTATAAAATGGGCAATATATTATATATAAAACCACTTGTCAGTGTTGTGGCTGACCAGCTGTGAGCGTGTGCGGATAGTTTATCACTTTCTAATCAGCCCTGATGATGTCATGTAGGCATGACTGGCTTGTGTGAACATATCACTCTGGAACATGCATGAGTACCACGGCTGTGGAGTATTGTCAACACAATAATGGAGGAGGACACTAGGAGATTTTGGCAACTTGTAAGTTTGAAATTTAGTTTATAGACCTAATTATGCATGAAGTGGACGATGTATGAATGCATATAGTGATGGTTCTTTCCTTGTCTAGTCGTTTCATGATTCGGTGTTGACATTTTCCTGGTTGTGACAGGCCATTGTAACTGTGAGACAAGTCAACAGTTGTCATTCATAATGAACCAGACGGGTAGAGAGAGACCTTACCGCGGCAGACATATGTGTAAAGGTTTAGTTTGCTTGAGCTAATATTGATATATACATGGAGTGAAAGGTGTGGTTTGTTCACTGGCAAGACTTAAAGTACATTGACATTTCAAAACATGTACTGAATATATTTTTAAAAAAAAGTCTTGTGACTTGAAGCAGGTAGAGATAAATTGTGCAGGTGAGTGCGATGTGTGTTACTGTGTGTGACTGTTTGAGAAAGAGAGAGAGATGTGTGTGACTGTATGCAGCCAGTCAGTGTGTGTCCATGTATGCATGGTTGCATGTGTGCGTGTGTATATGTGTGTGTCTGTAAGCAGCTGGGTGTACGCAGCCAGTCAGCGTGTGTGCATGCGTGTGTACATGTGTGTGTCTGTAAGCAGCTTGGTGTATGCATCCACTCATGTGTGTGTGTGTTTAGTCTGTCTCACAGTCCCTGAACCACATTATTTTCCCTACAGCCTAGCTTTCCCTGTAGTGCTAAAGCCCTAAACGAAGCAAGTCTA